TATATAACATATATAAAATATATAAAATAAACATATATTAAAACGAAGAATAGTAAAAAAAATGATAAAAATAACGAGTAAGTTAAATTGTGTAATTATAATAAATTTGGAACTTATATGTAATTATTTTAAATAATATTACATGTAAGTTCCAAATTTATTACATTAAATGTTATTTTATTAAAATTATTTTATTAAAGAACGCATATTAGTAAACAAATTTTTCAAACAAAAATTTCTTTGTATCTATCTTATATCTTATTACATTTTGCGCATACGTTTAAATCTAAGTAACATTTTTATATAATCACTTTACATTTCACGTGACGCGTATTTTAATATTATATAATTGAAAATAAAGTTTAAATTTGCTTATTATTAAAATATTACATATAACACAAAAAAAGAATTTTCTAATTTACATTTTTTAATTTAACTGTATTTATGTGATATTTGTAGAGTAAATTGTAAATTACTCTACTACTATAACTATATCGAAACTGCTGTACGTACGCTATATCATCATCGTTCAATAAATGTCTTACAACATTCCGTTTTTGTAAAAAATTAACCAAAATATAAACGTAAACAATAAAATATATTCGAAGTAAAAAAAAAAAAAGAACAAAACGAACACAAAGAGGTGGTAAAGTGAACAAAGTTTATATTTACAAAAGTAGCATAATTACTAACACAAAGTTTTTTACATTCCGCGGTCGAAACATCATGATTGGGAGAAAAACGATTGAACTTAACATCAAATATCCATAGTAGAGAAAAAATTTGAAATAATATCGAAAGGTCCTGCTCATTTCGTATAAGAATGGTAATATAAGAATGAAACCGATGAGGATCACTTCGAAACACGACGGAGCCATCTTTTATAGTGATAAAGGGCGGATTCTAACACGTAATATTTTCTTTACACTGCATGAACGAAATTAGTATTACACTTCTTTACACGATCTTATAATCTCGTAAGGCTTTGGGTACGTGTATGGGAGGTGCTTATTCATTGATTACTGATTAACCGCTTCTTATTATTGTTCGTTCGCACAACTTTATCGGGGCTATATGTACATCACACATACACTTTATTCTCAATACTTCCCTATGCTGATATCTCACTTCTAAGCCAACTTCTTTACTCTCAATCAGTTAATTCACCCTCAATTTAAGTTTTGTCCTCAATTACTTATATTTTATTTGACGACAATATTGCATACAAATGAATATTATATTACGACCAACAATATTATATCACCATTAATGTAACCTGCATTTATTATATGTTGTACCTTAATCTGAAAAATTTATTGTGCTAGGATATATGATCGACTATTTGACTATCATTTTTTTTGTACAGTCGTTTCTGTTTTACTATTCTTTTCTATTTATTTTTTTATTTAATTTTATTTCGAATAAATAATATACATAAACCGAATATTATTTTATTAATTATTCTATTAATTAATGCTATGTACGCGTATATATATTATATTATTATCATTTATATTACTATCATATTGTCAATTTCAACATTTTATTGTCTATTAACATTTTTAATGAAAATATGTAATGAAATTTAATGATTTTTATCACATTTTTAGAAGATGTATTAATTTTAAGAACGTTATAATGAAAGTATATTTGTTACAAAGAATTTTAAACTTTCACGGACGAACTAAATCGTAATTGTTTAAAATTTCTAATTGTAAACTGTATCAAGTTATATTAATCGCCAATAATATTACCTATCTTTGTTACGAAACGTTAGGTAAAAGTTTTGTATATTTTAATCACTAATTGCAGTGTCAACAAAATATTAAAGATAAAATTCCAAATACAATTTTTATCGACTCTTTAAATAATAACTGTATTTGTTATAAATTTAATCAAAATAATTTATATATTATATGTGTATATAGATATTTATTTATTTATATTTTATTATCTTTCTAATTCAAAAAATTCAGTTACAGTAATTTATAAATTTTAAATGTATAGATTTATATTTCTTATTGTAATACTGTTACGTGCAACATGATAACAACTTATAAGTTTATTTTTTTATCAAGCATTCCAAAATCAAATTATTTTTATTATTCTGAATTAATGATATCATCATAATATTTTTTTATGTAATTCAAATGTAAACTTTCATTAAAATACTCACAATATATTATATTTTATATAAATAATACTCGTGTATATAATAACTACACGAGATTTTATCATATTAAAGTTAAAAATATATATACTAAACTGTGAGTTTCGAATCACTCTTTAATAATATATATTATAATGTTTATCAATGTAACTGTTTTGTATATGAAAAATTTATCATAAACTTTTCATACCGTTTAAAAGTTCGATTGTCGTATCGTATATCTATAATTCGATAGTTTGCGCGGCAAATGAAAAGGTATATAGAGAGCTTTAAATTTTGCTGATTACTGTACGCATGTTTCGTGAATAGGTTAGTTTTTCGAATAATGGTATAGCATTTAATTGAATGACGATTTGATATTTTTATCATATAACTTAAATTAACATATTAAAGTTGCAGTAAAATTAATATAATATACATATTAATGAGTGCTTTAAAATTACCGGTGTATTATTTATTGCGTAATTTGTTTACAATTTTCGGAATTTGATGTTCTTAAGGTATTTAATGTACACGCATTTATTAAAAAATTAAAATAAGAAAATATTATTATGAAATATTTAACTTATTTACAGGGGAGAATATTTGTAATTGAATACTTGTAGTAGAAATTGTAAGAATTAAATAAAAAATTTCGTAACATGCAAGTAAATTTACAAAAACGTGAAAATATTCAAACTACGATATTAGCATTATTGCTTACACAAAAAGGAGGATGCACTCTAAGGGAGTTGGATAATGATTATTTTCAATTAGAAGGGATGTATATACCATGGAAAGATTTAGGATATTCTTCTTTATTAAGTTTTTTACGTAGTATTCCAAAAGCAGTTAAAATAGAAAATAAGAACAATACAATTATTGTGAAAGGTATTGCATCTGACAAATCTATACATGTTAGTAAATTAGTAGCTGGTCAAAAAAGTGTGAAACAATTACCTGGAAGAAAATCATATAAACCAAATCATTATTTTCCCATGACTGCTCCTCCTAGAATCCATGTATCAGCTGATATATTAAGTAAAATAGTCAGTTTAGTTAATGATAATCCAGATGGCGTAAATAAGGATTATATACTTCATGAAGTTCGTTCATGTATGCCTTTTGTAAACATTACTATGGATGACATAGAAAACCAGTTACAGGAATTATCACATACGATTTTTCAAAGAAATAATAAAATTTATCCAATACAAACTAAAATTGAGGATTTGGATCATTTAAAAAGCAGTAACGATATGTCTTCCTCTGAACCTACTATGGTATCAAATAATAAACAGGTGTGCAAACCATTAATTGTAACTATTGCTGGAGATGAAAATTTAGGTGATATGTTAAATGTTGATGATGAAGAAAATATGTTTGAGTTTCCTTCTACCAAAACATTTCATTCTGATCATACAAAGTCAATTACAAAGACCAAACCTACATTTAGTTTTATAGAGGAATCTATATCTAAATACCAGGATCAAATGGCAGAACATATATCAATACCAAAAGTTCAATATGATAATAATATTAATCAAACTCAGGTGGAATTTGATAATATAAGAAGAGATGAAGAAAGTCAAGTGTTTAACAAAGATGTTAAAATACTTATAAATGAAAGAATGAAATTTCGTTTAGAAAAACTTATACAGAATCACTTTGACGGAATCTGGTGTTCTGATTTACCAAAAAAATATTTAGAAGAATATAAAGTTCCTCTAAATTATGTAGAACTTGGTTTTAATAGTGTCAGAGAATTTGCATCACAGTTACCTGAAATCTTTCATTGTATTCAACCTTATAGTACAGGAGATTTCATACTTTATTATGCAAAAAGAGAATTGCCTTCAAATAAAATAAAAGAGAAATGTAAAGCAAATAATATTACAGAGTTGTATCATATTTATGAAACAAATGATGAAGAAGCACTTCCAGTAACAGTGGTAAAAATTGTTTATTTAAATTATACAAGAATTTTATTAATTATTAATAAAAATATAATTTAATAATATTAAATTTTTAGTCACTTGATACATGTAAGGGATTAATACCAGATAACGTAATGAATATTGGAGAAAGTGTAGGTTACATAAATGTTGCAAACTTAATACAAAATATAAAACCTTACATAGAAGTTGTTGTTGTAGAAGTATTTACACCCTCATTCTTTTGGATTCAACTCTATAAAAAGCAAAAGATATTTAAAAAGTTTATGGATGATTTACAGTATGTATAAATACTATAATATATGTATGTATGTATAATTACAAGTGACTCTTGTAGTTATAATTGAATAATTATGATTCATAACATTTATACTAATGGTTACTCTTTATAGTAATTTCTACACAATGGAATATATGAAATATGTAATTCCACCAGTTGTACTAGAAAAAGGTTTGAATTGTGCATGTATATATAACGGAATATGGCATAGGGGTATAATTAAGACTGTAAAACCAGATTTTCAAGTTACTGTAAGTACATATGATCACTGTATTAATTATGTATTATGTAATAATTATTACACATATAATAATATGTATCATGTACAATTATTGATATTAAATTACTATAGGTAATGTTTTACGATTATGGTACATTAAAAACATATCCTCCAGAAGCAATATATTATTTGCATAGAATGTTTTCCAATTTACCAGCACAAGCAATACCATGTGGGTTAATTAATATACGTCCATATCAAGGGTCTAAGTGGTCTCGTAACGCTACTCATAATTTTGCGATAAGAACATGCGAAATACCTTTAATTGCAATAATAGCATCAATTGATGAAGAGGTAAAATCATTAAATTGTTTTAATTAATTGTATTAAAATTAACTTTACTTTAAAATATCTATTAGTATTTTTAAAATTATTCTTTTGTCAATATAGGATAATTCAATGTTGGTAAGTTTGACTGATACATTGGAGGAAGAAGATGTACACATTAATGACTGGTTAGTTGAGCAAAAGTTAGCAGCCCATGGAAAAATGGTTTGTATGAAAAAAAGAAATTTCCCATTTCGATATTATTTAGAATGTCAGGAACATGTTAATCATAAAGAATTTAACAATACTCATGAAGTAGAAAGAAATTGTGATAATAATGCAGCATTGTATAATATAAATTTTAAAAGAAATTTATCTGATGCAAATAACTTCAACAGAATAATCGATAATGGAAAAAGCAATACATTACAATCATTTGAATCTAATAATTTTGTTAAAAATGATCCCTTCATTGAAAAAATGTGTAGGCCTGTTAAAAATTCTGTAAAAAAATTTCAGGAGAAAGTATCTTTGTATCAGAAATTATTAAGTCTTAAACTAAAATCTATTCACTCTACTAAAATTAATAATAATAATAATTATGAAATTAATGAGAGCATAGAAAAGAAAAAATTTTTACATAATAGTACTGTATCTAATATTTCATTGGCTGATATATCTGTTCATAATAGAAAAAATAGTAAAGGGTCAAATAATATATGCGATACTTCAAAAGACCATAAAAATATTTCAAAGCAGCAGGCTAATTATTTTGATATATGGAATTCAGAAGATGAATTAGATATCTGTGATATAAAACTTTCTACTACTGATGCAGACTATGAAGTATATAAAACAGGGTACATAGATTGGTCTGTTATTTGTAAAAATGCAATACAAGAGAATAAATATAATATACCACACAAAACAATTTTTAAAAAACAAGACAATATACCATTAGCTGAAAATTGTTTCTTAAAAGCAGTGTATAATAGTTCATATTCTGCTTTATGTGATAAAGATATACATTGGTCATCGATTGGAAACATTAATAAAACATCAGATGTATTTCCATTAATTTTAAAAAATATTGAAAGACGTAAAAAAGATATCACGGATAGTACAATACTCGCTATATCCCAACAAATGTTAGAGACATTAACAGGCAAAATGTTTGTAGAACCATCTAATTCGTTTAAAAACGTTCAAGATGTACAGCTTACTAATTCATCACAAGAAAGTAGTGATATTAGTACTGGTAATACATACACAAATAATAATGAAATATTTTATACAAAAAATTTGGAACAACATTCACAAAGCTATAAAGAAAATGAATACATTTGTATGAAAATAATTGTTTCTAATCAAGAGTTATGCAAAAAATTATTGTCAATAAAAGATACATCAAGTAATATTTTGAGTTTAGATTCGGACGATTTAAGCACATCAGATGAATCTATATCATTTCAGAATAATAATAATGATAAATATGAAAAAGATGTATATGAAAATGATGTAGATACTGTCAAGAAAGTATTAAATGAATCTAATTCAAAAATTGATGTTAAAAGTCTTTCACACATAGATGAAATAAACGTGATAGATTTGCATACACAGGAATCAGTTAAATTTACTATCAGTGATGTGGAGGTATATGAGAAAGAAGCTTTGATAACTTCGCCAAAAACGTCAGTAGTTGCAAATAAAAAATTTGAATTAATTGAAAATTTGGAATCAATATTAGGACAGCAATCAACACAAAATTCAGATTTAATACAAAATATTGATTATACAGAAGAATCATTGTTAAATGTAGAATTAATGAAAAACTCATTATTAAGTGAAGAAGCTATACAATCAGAAGCTGAACCGGTCGAAAAATCGGTATCATCTATTATGACTGAAACGTCTCACATATCAGTTTTTAATGATATTGATATAGAAACTGATGAGGAAGAATGGGATGTACATGTATCATATGCTGATTTTAGTAATCTTCTTAAAAGTAATTATCCTTTTATGGAAAGTATACCAAACCATAAAGAATTTAATTAAAAATAGCAAAAATAAACGATTTAAATTCAGGTGAAAATGCAAATTATGTAGATGTCTGCAAAAATAGAAAAGATGTTGTTTATGAAGTCATGTATTCAGATAAAGTCACTGAAAAAGATGAAACTAAAAATTTAATAAACCCATACACGAAATTTGAAATTCAGATGTCTGTAATAGATTCTGAAGAGAGTTAAAATCTAAATAATGAATTTAAATAGTACAACCTCTTATCAATTAGAAGGTAAAGGAAAAATATTGGTAGAGATGTTAAAAAAAGTAAAATTATTGTAAATAGATGAACTTAAATTTCTTAATCCTTTCAATCTATAAATTACATTTTAAATATATAAATCTATAAAATAATTTTTCTGTATATTATATATAATTACTGTTTATATTATATAATGCTGCTGTATGTTTATTTTCACTAATTAATTAATGTATTTTACAAGATGCTAGAACAGATTGTATTTATTATATTTTTTGGGAAAAATACAATCTTTATGTTATTATAAGCATTTGTGTTATTATAAGCATACTGCATTTGTTACTTACGTAATAAAAATATTTAAATTAAAAACTAATTACGTGTATTTTATTCCATATTAATATTTTTATAATTTATATAACAATCTCATAAAGTGGTCATTTTTCCCAAATTAATCTATCTAAGGATTATAGACATAGTACTCAGTAAATATGTATTCTACTATTATTTGATATGTTCTTTTTTTGTTTTTTAATCAGGAAGATAAAGTTGATATGAATAATCTATTACTTTATGTGGAAGAAAATTTAATATTTAGACCAGAGCAGTGTTATGAAGAGAAAACTAATATATTTAATGATAACAATATACCCTTGGTATCACCGCAAAGTACTTTACATGAAAAGTGCTTTCAGTCTTCAAAACCCATTATGTTTGATGAACAAGAAATATTGCTAACAAAGAAGGATATTCAAGATCAAATTCTTCAGACTGATTCAATACCTTCTATATTTACCTTCAGTGAGAATAATACCAATCCATTTTTACAAGATGAACCTCCTAATGATCAAATTAATAATAATATAAGTCCTCAAGCATTCATGCAGTTATGGAAAAAAAATTTGCAATTAGAAATGCAAATAAATATAATACTTAATATACTTCATAAAGTAATAAATGATTCTGTAAAAAACGTAAATGATAATATAACAAATGATGAAAGTATCTTAAATGCGATAAAAGGTGCACTTTTATTAACTGAAAATAATTATAGAGAAAAAGATACTGTTACAAATACTGATTCAACGAATGTTGAATGTCATCCAGAATGTCTTACAATTCCTGCAACAAGTGAGCAACCAATAATTACTACCTCGTATAATGGGGATCATGACTCAAATGTTGGTATTAATCCCTTTCGAGAAACTATTATTCACAATTTAGTTAAAAGTCAGAGTGTAATGGATTATAATACTTTAATGCCTGTAAATGATGATTTTGATACAGTAAATCAATCCTTATCGAATCAGCAAATGCCAAAAATATTAAATACACCTCCAGGTTTTGAAAAATTTCATAATAAATTCATGTTAGACTTAAAAAATAATTTTACAAATAATGATAATGCCAGTCTTCTGACAACCACAGAAAATTCTGTAAAAAATGAATTGATTTTAAAAGAAACAAATCCTTTTAAACTTAGTTTAGCAGGTAAGTTACATATACCTGATTCACCAGAAAAAGATGACACACATTTTAATGATTTGTTGTCTGTCCAACATAAAAATCATAAGTCAGTTATTGCATCTAATTTGATACACTTTGAAGATAATGATTTTAAAACTGAGTATACAGACCAAAATATGTTAAATAATTGTAAAAACACATTATTTGAGCATTATCAACATTTTACTCCTGATATTTCAAATAACACAAGTAATATTAAAAATGATTCATTTGCATTAAATGCAAAGTCTTTTAATAATAAGTGGAATGTAGATAATATTATAAACACAGCACCCAAAATTATTATCAGTGATGAATCAATGCAACAGGCTGTTCACAAAAAAGAAATGGAAAAACATTGTTTTTCACCATCAGAAGAAAACCTTATGGATAATAGTTTACACTTTATCGAGGAATTATACAATCAATTCAATCAATCTTTGTTTATACAAGATAATGATTTTGTAACATCAAGAGATGTTCCTAATTGTGAAACTATGAATGAAAATTTTACTTTTTCTCCGAATTATAATGAAAAAGATTCAATACATTCATCTCCTTTTCATACATTATGCTCATCTTCAATTAACTCATCTTCAATAATGAAACAAAATGAAATACAATGTAATCAAACATCAATGACAAATTCAGATCAATTAAACAGTGCATCTATTAAATTATGGAATAAAACACCAAAAAATACTACTCGATTAAAAAATTGCAGTACAATTTGCTCTGTTCCTGAAAATAATGAAGAAAAAGTAATATGTAATGAAGATCAACAGAAAAATAGTTTACAAAATAACACTCCAGCAGATACGGTAGATTTTGAAGTAAATACAAATAATATAGGAACAAAGGATACATATTCAAAGGAAACTAAATTTAAAACTGTTGGGAAAGTCACATACATTCCTAAATGTTCATTTTTAAATTATCAAGTATTCTTTCAAGTAGTTGGTATGTTTTATTATATTAAATTAATTAATTATGTTTTTTATTATTTGTAATTGATAGAAATAATTGCTTTGTCTCTTTCATAGAACTTCCTGAGGAGGTAATGCATATATTTTATTACCAAGGAATAGGATGGTTGTTAATTAATGAAGTCATTAAAGTGTTTTCTGAGTTAGAACTAACTTTAGACACAGTCAAGTTAGAACATGTATTAAATACAAATGCCCAAATTAAAGAAATTGATAGAGCTGAGAATTCAATAATATTTATACAAACTAACAGGTAATTAATATAAATATTTTATTAAAACTAAAGTCCTTTATGTGATAAATATAAAAAT